TGGGAGTGGACGTGAGGGATGGTGGAGGGGTGGCTCCCTCTTACCTCTGCCAGGCTGGAGGGGGGATACGGGTGTGGAATGACTGGAGGGAACTCAGTGAGGAACTCCGGAAGCTGACTGTGGATCTTGCCTCGAATGGTCCTGGCGCTGTACTCCTGCTTGGGGGAGGTGACCCAGCAGGGCACGATGTTGTGGGCATCAACCTGGGAAGCAGAGTTGTGGAGGAGAACATGAGCAGGAAAAAAAAAAAAGGACCTAATGACATGACTCGCAGATGGTCCTTGCACTGCATTTTCTGACAGAACTGGATATTTCCCACTTGTCTGGCTAAAGCTTGAGCATGACCATGGGGATACAGGGACAGACAACAGGAATAAACTGATAGGAGAGGGAATGGGAACATGTCTCTTGGATGCTGTTTTTCTCTGCACGTCAAAGCAAGGGACAGCCCAAGCAGCAGTGCCTGCAATCACAGCTGCTTCATGGAGAGGAATTGAAAACATCCCCTCAGGCTGGCTGTACTCCTGCAGCACCCAGAAGGTTAATGGGAGGGTCAAGACGACCCAGGACAGATGTCCTCACCCTCCCTGCTCAAGTCACTCCAGTGCATCTCCACAGGCATGAAAATCCAGAAAGTAAGTTTCTTCCATATCTCACCAGCCAAGGTTTTCCCCAACCTGCCCACTCCCCTCCCAGAGCGCAGGGACCTACCTGTGCAAATGGCACATCCTCTGGCAACCGCTCTCTGACGTCCTCCACCCACTGTTGGGGGACACGGAGGGGACAGAAATCTGTCACCAACCCACCTACGCCATGCTTCACCACGAATGTGAGCAGCACATCCTTGGCGTAGCCCAGCAGCAAGTGGAAGGGGATGTTCAGCTCTGTGCACTCCTGCAATGATGGGGAAAAGGCTAAGGGATAGTCTGGGCCTCTGTAGACCTGACCCCACCCTGATCTGCTGAAGGACCGATCCTGCATCTTCTTCCCCAGGAGCCCTGTCCCTGCCATATCACACTGGGCCTCCCCACGTGGATATCCCCACAGTGGTCCATACCTTGGCCACCTCCTGCAGGCCCCTCAGCATGAAGCCATAATGGCGGATGGTGGCATCCAGGAATTTGGGCACCAGGCAGAAGCAGACATGCAGAGGGAGCTCCTGTTTGAGCGCCAGCCGCTGGGCATAGAGGAAAGCCCAGTTATCTGTGGAGAAAGAGCATGCGGCTGTATTAGGGGGATGCTCCACCTGGCTGAGTCCCAGTCCCAGTCCCAGCTGATCAAAGGATTCACCAGGCTGGGGCCTTGGCTGCCTCCCCAGCCTCGGTTTCCTTGGCTCTGTCCATCAGGGCAGGCTCAGGCAGATGTGGCCCTGCTGTGGGAGTGAGGCTGGACTATGGGATCTCTTAGGGACTCGATGGAAACAGGTGATGAACAGCTGCAAGGAGGGGGAAGCAGTCAGGGCGGTTGCAGTAGGAATCTTGCCAGTCTGCTCAGCAGAGCAGACTCCAGCTGGTGCCAGCTCCAAAGGCTACTGGGGGCACCAGTGCCCAGCTTTTTGGCAGGACTGTACAGAAAAGCAAGCTGGGATAGCTCTGCAGGGAACATGCATTACAGTCATCTCTATCCAAACCCTCCCTGCCACACATCTCCTGGTCTGAAGGGCTGCAACTCTGGGGACTCTCCATCCCCAGCTGCGGATTACAAGTCCTGCTCTGGAGAAGAGCCCTTCCTTACAGGGAGGGGACAGGGCTTTCATCACCCCTGAGCGCTTTGTTTCCCAGCTCCTCTGCCAGCCCCTGGATAGGCTGGTTCATACCTTGCACACGCTGGTCTCGGGACATCCAGTAGAGGATGCACTTAGCGCCGTCCTTGAGGTCAGAGCCCTGTGAGATAAGACGAACCCGCTTTTTATTGTACTTGAAGTCCTGCACGGATGGGGCTGCCTTCTGCCGGGCCTCCTGCACTGCCTCCTCCAGCTTCCCCAGGGCTGCCTCCTCCTTATTCCTCTTCGGAGGAAAACGCGGCAACTCTGTGGTGTCTGGCTCGGCCTCAGTCTTGCCCCCTTGACCTGCTTTTCGCTTCTCTTTCTTCTGGGGCATCCTCAAGACGGTCCTGGTGGGCAGGCAACGCTGGGATCGACACTGTGGCCTCCAGGGCCTGGACCAGGCAGTTGCAAATGGGATCACCAACCGTGCCAGGAGTAACGTGGTGGTATGTGACCCCTGTGAACAGAAACAAGACCTCCTCCACCATCTGCCCAAAGCTGCACTCAGAGATAAATGCTCAGGAAAGCACCCAACAACTGCAAAATCAGACAAGTCAGTTTGATGTGGTAGTGCTGACCCTTGTGGGTGGGCTGGGCCCAGCAGCACTCACCCCCAGGCACATCACTAGATGAGGCCGCCTAGTCCTTCATCTGCTGGCCACGTGACAGGGAAGATGTAAGAAAGTTCTGCGGGTGATGTAGCTGGGGAAAACTATAACCCTGGCGCCAGCAAGTGAGATCTGCCTGTGGGCCACAAATCGGCCAAAGCAGCTTCGCCCGGGCCCCTTGCAGACCTGCACCCTTAACGCTGCAACACCCCGGGGGTGCCCCATAGGGCATCCCCACAGCCCAGCTGGCCGGGCCCTAGCTGCCAGGCCCGGGAAGGCGGCTGGAGGGATTCGGCGTTACCGAACCTCATTACCCCGTCTCGGGGCGGCACCGCCGGCTCTGCCCTCCGCTGCCCGAGCCCAAGCACCTGCCTGGCCTCTGCGGCACGGGGGCCC